GCCTCTGCCTCCCAAATGCTGGGATTAAAGGCGTGCACCACCACGCCGGGCTTTTTTTTTTAAAGGTTTTTGTAAATTTTTTTTAAAAAAAGTTTCTGTAAATATTTTACTTTTTAAAGGTTTTTGTTTGTTTATTTATTTATTTATTTTTGTCTTTTTGAGACAGGGTCTCCCTGTAGTCCCAGCTGACCTGAACTCACTATATAGACCAGGCTGGCCTTGAACTCACAAAGATCCGCCTGCCTCTGCCTCCCAAGTGCTGGGATTAAAGGCATGCTCTACCATGCCCAGCTATTTTATTTTTTTAAAAAGGTTTTTGTAAATATTTTATATTTTAAAAAGGTGTTTGTAAATATTTTATTTTTGAATTATGTGTATTGTATATTTGGGCAAGCATTTGTGTCTCTGGGCCTTAATTTCCAATTCTATAAATGTACTCGTTACAATTCCATATAAAGACTTGCAGTGTGGAGCTAGATAGAGACAGATGCTCAATGAGTATTGTACACAATGTAACTTTGAGCCATTCTCTCTTGGCTCTGTCACTTTGATTGTGAGACCCAGACCTTTGAAGCTGGGCCCTGGAATTCTGTGGAGAAATCCAAGCCAGGTATCCCTTTAAACCATTAAACTCCAAGCCAGGTATTCATTAGAACTAGTGCAGTCAGGAGCAGTTCATGTGAGTGACTTTCCTCAAGGATTCTGAGTTGTTACTCATCTGTGTTCTGTGTGGTTTATGTGCTATCTCTCACATAACCTATTTTGGGGTGCTGTTTTTAAAAGGGTTTGAGGAAAACAAGCCTGTGCTGGTATGTACCACAGTGGTAGAGCATTTGCCTAGCCCTCCAGTCAGAAACATCAAAACAGATTTCATATTCTTTTTATAGAGCAATAAAAGTTAAAAATACATGAAACATTTAAATTATTGAAAGTACACTCATTAACTTATTCTGTTACTTTACTTTGACTTGTGGGTGGGTGGCGGGGATTAAAACCCAAGGCCTTATGTGCTAGGCACGTGCTTTAGCACTGACCCACACCTCAGCTCCGCTCTATGTTCGCTAAGCCTTTGGTTATAACTCTCTTACCTGTTGACTCAGGATTTTTTCCCAAATAATCAGTTAGAGCAGCAGAATTAGTGGCATGAAGGGTAATACTGCTGCTGCATCAGTTTCGGCTTTGTCCCATAGAAATTCTTCCAAGTTACCCACTGATGATGAAGACCTTGAAAACCTACTATTGGCCTTAAATATGATCTTTTCAAACTTTACTTCTTAGCAAAATTATTCTTTCAAAGAAAGCTTTCCAGGAGTTTCCTGTGCATAAATAGAATGTCTTGATTTCTTTTCCTCTGCTTACAACACTGGGGCTCAAACCCAAGGCCTTCCTCATGCAAGACAAGTACTCTACCACTGAGTTATGTCCCTCCCTTGGAATGTGCTGATCTTTAAGGGTAGGCTTCTGCTGGGTGTGCAGGTTTCTTAAGAATGGAGGAGGTTTGGTTTGTACACTACTCAGAGGCCTCGTGCATTTTGTGTTTTCTGAGTCCTTATTGCAGGTGCTCTTCCTCCTTTATTAAGGGCCATGGAATTGATTGCTCTGTTATTTTTGTTTCGTTTCCCCCTTTTTAGGCGGTCCTGGGGGTTTGAACCTAGGGCCTCATGCATGCTAGGCAAGTGTTCTGCCTCTGAGCCATATCTCCAGTCCTAGTGCTCTGTTCTGCTAGCAGTTTACCATCAGTAGTAAAAAGCATTCCTATCTCAACCTTTGTGCAAAATGTTTCCTTCCAGATTGGTTATGAAAGTCACAGCAGTAGAATTGTCCTAGCACAAATGCAATGTAATTGAAGAAGTGAGCGATGATGGAGGCTTGGGGGAAGGTGCTTCCCCCTCTTTCACGAGGTTCTCTAAGTTTGTACTTAAGTTCTTCTGCTCTGTAACCAACAGGAGGACTCACAAATGGCAGTGGAAGATACATCTCTGCTGCTCCTGGTGCCGAAGCCAAGTACCGCAGTGCAAGCAGCGCCTCCAGCCTCTTCAGCCCCAGCAGCACCCTTTTCTCTTCGTCTCGTTTGAGATACGGAATGTCAGATGTCATGCCCTCTGGCAGGAGCAGGCTTTTGGAAGATTTTCGAAATAATCGGTACCCTAATTTACAACTACGGGAGATTGCTGGACATATAATGGAGTTTTCCCAAGACCAGCATGGGTCCAGGTGAGGACTTGGCTTTGGCACATAGGGTAATTGAAATCTTAATACTTCTGATAGGTAGATATTAAACTACTATATCATAGCACCTTTCTGTGACTCATAGTCTGCTTCTAATGTGCTTCCTGCTGTTTATTTTGGAAAGATGTGGACATGAGGGTCACCAGATAACCAAAAGTTTGAAGAGTCTTTAGTGGTCTGGAGCAAACTTTCTGTCTTTCTGAAAGAGTGGTCTTTGTTTCTAGTTCACAAGAAGCTCTTAAAACTCTATAGTTTGCCATTGGGCATGAGAGTGCATGCCGGTAATCCCAGTAGTCAGGAAGCAGAGGCAGGAGGATCACCATAAGTTCCAAGCTCTACTCAGTAAGACCCTATCTCATAGACACAATCCTAACCCTCTTCTGTAGTTGAAACAGAAGCCCTCCCATGAAGCCTCATGCACACTTTTGCATTGGTCAGCACTGTAGAGAATCTTCTCCCAAGGAGACATCATGTAGAATGTGGTTCTCCAATGCTTAGGAGCAAGTCAGGCTTTCCACTTGTCTTTATTCTGGGGAGAGCAGCTTTACTAGGAGGGGGAGCTGGGCCTAGACATGGAGCATAATGAGGTAACCATACCCATCTTGCTTCCTTCCTTCTGCCTGCTTGCCTCCCATGAGAAGCTCTCACATGTGGGTTCTGTATGTCAGATTGAGAGCTGCATGATTTTCCTGATACAGTCACCTGAACTAAATAAGTCAGGCCAGGTAGTTGTTATTTCAGAAGCTAATGAATACTGCCTTTTATGGGCATAAGTTAAAGACTGTAGCAAGGACCATAAGCTTTTGAGTTCCTGATGAGGGCACTGGGTTCCTGAAGATCAGGGTCAAGTAGAGTTCACACTTTTGTGCAGAGGCTCTCCTGTAATACAGCACACCAAAGTGGAATCCACTTTTAACTGTTAACCGGGCTTGGTGGCGCATGCCTTTAATCCCCACACTCAGGGAAGCAGAGGCAGGTGAATCTCTGAGTTCAAGCCCAGCCTAGTCTATCTAGGGAGTTTCAGGCTAGCTGGAACTACAGGGAGACCCTGTCTCAAAAAGGACCCCCTTTCCCCCAAAAAAGTTCAGCTGTATTAGGGGATTTCCTTAAAAAAAAAAAAAAAAAATCTTCCCTTGACAGCTCAAGAAATTGATCTGAACAGCACTGAGTGAATTGTGTGTGTGTGGAAATGCATGCTGCACACTGCAGTGACCCCTTCCTGCATTTCTGAGTCCTACCAAATACTCTGATTGCCCCTTCACTTTGTTCTTCAGATTCATCCAGCTGAAATTAGAGCGTGCCACGGCAGCTGAACGCCAGCTTGTCTTCAATGAAATCCTTCAGGCTGCCTACCAACTTATGGTGGATGTGTTTGGAAATTATGTCATTCAGAAGTTCTTTGAAGTAAGTCTTTAGTCTTTCTGTCCTTTGAGTTTACAGAATTCTAGAGTATTTTGATTTTCATTGGGTTTTAAGGAACAGCAGCTCTGTTCCAGTCCTCAGAATGTGGCCTTTTTTGTGAAGAGCTTTTTTTTAGTGTTTTCCCAATTGATTAGCGGTAGTCAGTATATACTGAATGAAGTATAGTTTGCAATAGCTCTTTAGAAGCTGTGGTTGATTCTAGGTAGCCGGGCCACAAGGGGGCATGCCAGGCCTTGATACAGAATAAGGGAAGCTTTGCTTTTTCTGGTTTCTCCCCTCTACCTAAGTAATGCTGTTCCCCACACTCTGTGTCTAGTTTGGCAGCCATGAACAGAAGCTGGCTTTGGCAGAGCGAATTCGAGGCCATGTCCTGTCATTGGCATTACAGATGTATGGCTGCCGGGTTATCCAGAAAGCTCTGGAATTTATTCCCTCAGACCAGCAGGTAATTGTAAGTTTCCCTTTAACTTTTCTCTTGGTGTTTTTCTGTGGTGTGTACGGCGAGCTCTGCAGACTGTCAGCATGAAGGCTTTTCTGCTGTTACTGTGGTGTTAAATGCTACCCATCTGCGTGGCAAGCAGGAGCTGCAAATTGATAGTGGATCAGGTCTCTTGAGTGGTTTTCAACTTCGCCTCTTTGACTGGAACTTGGCCTGATTCAGATTTTATAGTTTCGGGGGTGGGGTGAGGTGGGGAGAGGCTTATAGGCAGGTAAAATGCTGCTTGTCTTTCTCCTCAGCCTGCACTGAGCATACCGATGAACCCAAATCCATTCCAACTTCCTTGCATTTTCTGTACTCTCTTCCTGTTCACTCATCCTGCCAACCTTGCTGGACACCACAGAGGTGACTAAGTCCTGTTCACTGCCTGTGGCCCTCAGTCTGGTGGGGAGGGCAGTAGAAAACAGCAGTGCCCACTTGAGAGGCCCCCTCACCATACCCACTGTCCCCCAGGAGAGGCTCTGCAAAAGTGAGGCTGAAGGGAGTTAGACAGGAGAGAGGGGACAGAACAGCTAGCCACTGTGAGTAGGGCCGGACAGAGGAATCACCAGAGGCCCACTGCTTCAGCTGTCAAGAGTTGGTCTGCCCAACCCTGCACAGGGCCCAGGAAGCCAAACCAACCCATGGGCAGGGAGGGTGGGCCACAGTCTTTGCGCCAGGCAGTGCTGAGAGTCAGGTGTTTGCGGCCTGCTCCCATCAGCCTTTGGGCTCTGAGCTCCCTCAGCCTTCCGGTTGGAGGGGTTGCTGTTGTCTGGCAATGATGACCCACTTGCCCTCACTGAGAACAAAGTTCAGTAATGAGAATCTTTGTTAGGGACTCGTTCTGAGCCAGACGAAACCCCACCAACTCTGATTGAAGTCGTATAACCACCGGTCAGTGGAACTGATGGTGGCAGTTGAAGGCTGGGGAGCCCAGAGCACTTGAGGTTTGACAGCAGGTGAAGATGCTTTGGGGGTGGGGTGAGGTTGGATACATACAGCAGCATTGGGACACCTTCATCTAGTGCTCAGCACCAGACATATAGCACAGTGTTGTCCAGCTGAGTAAAATGACACACGATTGTAATCCTAATGCTTAGGAGGCAGGGGCAGGACAATTACAAGTTTAAGGCCAGTCAAGGCTACATAGCAAACCCACCTCCCAATCAAGCAAACAATACAAGCAAGCAAGCAAACAGAAAAGTCACCACCCAGTTACCCACAAACAGGAGGTCTCCTCTTCATTCAAGCCATTATAAATTCTTAGAACTTCAGGATTTTCATGGCTCTCCGAATCTTCTTTTCAATGTAATTCTCTTCTTTTCAACACAGATCCTTCCTTCTTCCGTCATGACAATCCCCCCCCATTTGCTAATAGAAAGTAGAAGTTCTGACCCTTAGTATTTCCCTCCTCTTCCTCCTTTCTCATTGATAAATTGTTTTATCTCCAGCTTTTCAAATTGTAGTTTCTCTCCCACAAGCTACTGTTCTCTCCTTCCCCTCCTTTTCTCCTCTCCCACTCCACTCCACTTTTCCCTATTCTCCCAACCTTTAGCAGTACTGGGGGATTGAACCTGCACGACCTTGGTGCATGCTGTGGGGGTGCCTTACTACTATACTAGCCTTGAATTGTGCAGTTCAAGCAGGCCTTGACCTTGAACTCCTCCTGCTGGGTCTCCTGAGCGTGGTTGGCTCTTTTATATTTCTTTTTTTTACTGGTTCACTTTCTCTGTGGTATCGTGTTCTGAGCTGATATCTTGGTTGCTTTGGCAGACTCTATCTCTGATTCCACATGTTGCATTCATGAATGCACTGTTTTTTCTTTTTAAGTTGAATTTTATGATTTTTATACAGTATAGTTTGGTGTTTAGATTTGCTCCTCTGCCCGAACCTCCATGCAGTGCTCCCCCTCCCCCTTTCTAATTTAATGTACTCTCACGTATATATGACGGACTGTAGAGTCTGATAGGTATACACAAATGTCCTTCAATGTGAGGCTATCCACTGGGACCACCAAGAGTCCCATCCCTGTTAAGACATTGTCAGCCATCAATTACCAGAAGTTCCTTACATACTTCCCCATGTCTATGCTGGGATTTTATCTGGTTTAAGCTTTCATGGAACTTGTGCATGCTCTTACCATTGTTGTGAGTTCATAAGAGTCACTAACTGATCAGCTGACTATTTCCTTGTCATCCATCCCTCTGGCGCTTACAGTCTTTCTGCCTTGTCTTCCACAATGATCCCCAAGCCTTGGGGGGGCAGAGCTTTTGAAGTAGGTGTCAGGGATAAGTACTCTGAGGCCTCTTGTTCTCTGTACATTGGGAATGCCTTTTTAAAATACATTTTATTATTTTTATGTGTATGAGTGTTTTGCCTCCATGTTTCTAAGTGTGCAATGCCCACAGAGGCCAGAAGACAGTGTTGTACCTCCTGGAACAGGGATTATGAACAATTGTTGACCACCATGTGGAAGCTGGGACTCAAACTCCGGTCCTCTGGAAGAACAGCAAGTGTTTTTAACCCCTGAGTCATCTCTCCAGTCTGAAGAATGCTCTATTTTAAAGCAGCGATGCCATTCTAGCAAAAATACAGAGCAGCACAGAGAAGCTAAAACCTAGAACAGGAGTCAGCCAGGAAATTGGGGAGCAGATGTCAATCCTACCCCATACCCCTTCTTTTGAGACATGTTCTTGCCATATTTATGTTGCCCAGGATGACTGTAAAAATTCTGGGTTCTCCAGTGGTCTATCTAAGCCTTCCAAGATGCTCAGGCTGTAGGGTGCACTACCACCCTTGACTCTGTCTATAAATTTTAACACAGGATCTCACTCTATAGCCAAAGCAGACCTGGAACTCTCTTCAGTCTGGCTTCAAACTGGATATAATCCACCTGCCTCAACCTCTCAAGTGCTGGGATTATATATAGAACCAAGCCATCACACTTGACTTAGTTTTCAATATGAAACTTCTCTGAATTCCAGTTTCTTCATACATGGGTAGAAGGACCAAATTATATGATTGACAGGTGGTTTCTCAGTAAATACTGGTGCCATGCAATGATGGCATGGTTGCTTGGGTTTGAGTCTTGGCAATCTAGGTCTTGGGGGGGCGGGTGTCTTTTTGAGACAGGGTCTTCCTGAAGCCCCAGCTGGCCTGGAACGCACAGTGAGCCACCTACCTTTGCTGGGATTAAAAGCATGCACCAATATACCCACCAGTCTAGGTCTTTTTGAACAAGCTTTTGAATTTATCTTTGTTACAGTGCCACATGCATGGTCTGTTCAGAGGGAGGTAAAACATGCTAAGTCCTTACCTGGGGTAAACTCTAGGTAGGTTAACTATCATCGCATTAATAATATAAGTTTACAGGATTGTCAGAATATAAATGTGACAAGAGCTGGAGAGATGACTCTGTAGTTAAGAGCACTGGCTGCTTTTGGAGAGGACCCAGGTTTGATTCCCAGCACCTACATAGGGGCTCATAATTATAACTCCAGTCGAGGAGAATCTGATGCCCTCTTCTGGCCTCTGTGGACACTGCATGCACAAGGTGCACCTAGATATATGCAGGCAACTTTTGTATAAAAGTAAAAGTAAAATCTTTTAAAAATGTATAGATGATAAATTGAATGTGAAATTATTTAATACAGTGTAATTCACAAAGACTTTCTATTTGAAAGTATGGTGCTTTGGGGTTTGTTTTTTGGGTTTTTTGAGAGTCTTATGTAGCCCAGACTGAAGTGTTAGTATTACAAGTCCAGGCCATGAGGCCTGGTATGTTTTTAAATCAGGTCTAGTTTGGGGCTGGAGAGGTAACTCAGTGGTTAAGAGCACAGACTACTCTTGCAGAGGATCCAGATTCAATTCTCAGCACCTATCTACACACCTTCCTTAACTCCAGTTCCAGGGGAATCCGAAGCCCTCTTCTGATCTCTGGGGCATTGCACGACATGGGTACACTCACATGCAGCCAATACATTCATACACATAAAATAAAAATAATAAAATATTTTTTAAAAAGCAGGTCTAGTTGTTAAAAACAGCATAGTCTGGCCTTTATGTAGCCCAGTCTGATCTCTAACTCAGTCCTCTTACCTTAGCCTGCTTACCTGGACTTAGTACTGTGCTCCACTGCACATGACTGAGGTTTTGTGTTTTGTTTTGTTTTTGCTTTTTAAAGCCTAAGAAGTCTTTTCCAAGTTAGAGCTTTTGGGGTTCCTGTAGCTGTTACAGTAAATGTGCCATTGTGTGGAAGAGCTCACTGTTTGCCACACTGTTGCATGGCTGAGGTTGGGTTGTTCCACTTCAATTATCATGGATCTGTTCTATGCTTTGCTGCTTGGTAAGGAGAATGTGGACTGTCTGGGTATTTGCTGGCTGTGATTCTGGCTCTGCCTTCTCTCCTTGTCTCCAATAGAATGAGATGGTTCGGGAGTTAGATGGCCATGTCCTGAAGTGTGTGAAAGACCAGAACGGCAACCATGTGGTTCAGAAGTGCATTGAATGTGTACAGCCTCAGTCTTTGCAATTTATCATTGATGCGTTCAAGGGGCAGGTAAGTGACTTAGAGAAGAAATGAGGTATACCAATGAATGGGCATACCCATGATTCTCCAGTGGTCAGCCTGTGTCTTAGACTGCAGTTAGGAGCTGTCCTGTGCAGTGGTGTCCCCTGGCGATGTTACTGGGTCTCTTTCCTTTGCTCTCTGGGGATTCTTTCTCATTCTCCATGAGGACCTCAGCTGCCTTAAGGACTGTCAGCAGAGTTACCAAGATGAGTCTCATACTTGAATTATTTTTCCCTTGGCCAGTTTTTATCCCGATATTTTAAAGTCTCCATTTTAAAATCTGAATTTTAAAAATTCAGATCATTGGCAGAAATAATCTTGCAGGCAATGTTTGAAAGTTTTTTAGAGGGTATGTGTTCAAGATGGTTTGAACTGTATTACGTAGTCACATAGCTTTACTTTACCCATATGTCAAAAATGTGTTCTTAGCTCCAGCTTCTGAGAACAGTTATACCTTTTTTGTTTTTGTTAAGACAGGGACTTGTCATGTATCCCAGGCTAGCCTCAAGTGTGTAGTCCTCCAGCCTCCCAAGTATATGCCACCATGCCTAATTAAAGTTGTTACTTCCTCATACCCTGGTTTTTGTAAGCTGACTATAATTGTTAGTTTTTTTGCCAAAAATAATACCATCCCCCCTTCCTAATTTGGGAGTTTATGAATTTGGACCTTTTTTATTTTTTTTGGTCCTTTTGAGACAGGGTCTCCCTGTATCCCCAGCTGTCCTGGAACTCACTATGTAGACCAGGCTGACTTTGAACTCAACAGAGATCTGCCCGCCTCTGCCTCCCTAGTGCTGGGATTAAAGGTGTGCACCACCACGCCCGACCCTGAATTTGGACCCTTTTTAAAAAAAGAAGGAAAACATGAGAAAAGGAACTGTTTTCATAGATTACCACCTGTCTCTGCTGTTAAGCCTAAATGGAAACATGATTTGGGTTACAGAGTTCACTGACTACACGGTTCGGTAGACTTTCAGAACCCAGGGCTTATTGGTAGTTTCCAAGTTAATGGAAAAAAGGCACATTTGTTCACTGTAAGATGTTATGTTGGGCCAGAGAGATGGCTCAACTGTTGAGAGTGCTTGCTATTTTTACAGAGGACTGGTTCAGTTTCCAACACCCATGTTAGGTAGTTCACAACCACATGTAACTCCGGCTCTAGGGTATCTGACACCGTCTTCTGAACTCTGCAGGCACCCGCTGCACACATGCACATGCATGAATAAAACTTTTTTAAAAATTATTTTTACTTTATGTATATGAGTATATTGCCTGCATGTATGTAAGTGTACATGTGTCATGCAATGCCCACAGAGGTCAAAAGAGGGCATCAGATCCCCTGGAACTGGAATTAGGGACAGTTGTTTAGCCTCCATATGTGTGCTGGGTTGTGAACCCGTATCTTCTGCAAGAACATCCAGTGCTCTTAACCCCTGAGCCATCTCTTCAGCCCTGCCCCCCCCCCTTAAGAAAGACATTGTGTGATCAGAATATATAATAAAAGAAAAGGAGCCAGGTTGGTGGCGCACACTTTTAATCCCAGGCATAGGCAGATGGATCTCTATATCTCTGTGAGATTGAGACCAGCCAGGGCTACATAGTAAGTTCCAGGCAAATTGGGGCTACAAGGGAGACCTTCTCTCAAAAAACCCCAAAACCAAACAAAAATGTACACCAAAGCAGCAAACGGGAAAGGAAGGTGATTGTTGGTTTGTTTGTTTCACTTGTTTGAGGTGACGGGTTGGAACCCAGGACCTGAGACTGCTAGGCAAGCCTGCTGTTCCTGAGCTACAGCCCCATCCCAGGGGGAGAATATTATTAAGATGAAACTATTGAGGAATTGGCAGCTAGGTTATCTGAATAACTTCTGTGATCAGAGAAAACAATACAACAGAATGAAAAACAATGACAGGTGAATTTCTGTTTTACAAAAGAAGCAGGATTGCAGTAGCTAGGAAGCCTCCCTCATTAGTAACCAGGGCAGTACAAGGTGAGACCCACATGATAGCCCTGAGCACTGCTGTGTGTGACAGTGTAGCAGCCACTTTGGAAAGTAATTTAGTGCCATCTTGCAGATTTCAACACTTGCATTTTTTTATCCGGTGCTTTTGGCTTACAATTTTATCTGGTGGAAGACAGGTTAAGATATATTTAAAATGGCATTACCCCTCTAGAAGCAAAAAACAAAATGGTGCAGCTGTCCATGGGCCAGGGGTTAGGGTTAACAGTCACACAGCCAGCAGCAGCAGAGTCCTCTCAGTGCCGCTGTTTTGGAAGTGGATTTTGAAAACATGCTGAGTGAAATAAGCTGCTCCATATTTCATCCTTATAAAGCTTAAAGGAAGCAGCAAATGTAAGCATAAAGCGCATGGCAAATCAGACTTAGAGCATGGTTGGTGGGGCTGACACCTGTAGGTAGGTGGCACTTAGCAGGTGGGCACTGGGGCTGCTGTTACCACTCCTTCCCCCCCCCCCCCTTTTCTTTTTCTTATTTTTTTTTTCGGTGTTCTGAGAGAGTCTCATTTTATAGACCAGGTTGGCCTTGGACTCATGATCCTTCTGCTTTGGCTTTCTGAGTGGTAGGTTCAAAGGCATGTATCACTGTGCTTGTATTAGCACTCTAGAGATCCCAGGAACTTCATACCCCTAGGAAAGGCAGAACCAAGATTGGGGATGTGGGCTGGGCATGCAGCTCAGTACCACAAAAGTCAAATCAAAGCAGGAAAAAGTAAAGTGTACTTTCTTATTGCTCCATTTGTTTGTTGAGACAGTGTCTCATGATGTAGCCTTGACTGGCCTTGAACTCAGAGAGATCTGTCTGCATCTCTGCCGAGCACTAGAATTAATTGCTCCAAACCCAACAAAACTCCAGTTAAATTCAGCCCTACACGTAGTTGATATTTTGTATGAAGCATAGAAACAGGCCTCCTTTTTCTGTTTCTAGTCCTGTCTTTTGCAAAAGCTATTTGCTGACACTCTGGATTCTTAACTCAGTGCATCTTTTACTTATTTTCAGTTCCCTTCTAAAAAAGAAGGGAACTTTTCTGGAAAAGTTCATTTCAGCTAATTTATGCATATATATGAATTATTAAACCAATTAAGAAAGTTTATTAATCCATAACAGATTCATATCCCTTTGTTATTTGTAGAGAGAATGTACAAGCCATTCCATTAATTAGTGAAGACAGGTGGGACATGTGGCTAGCAGTACACGGGCATGGGAAATACACGGGCATTGGGAGGCACTGAGCATCACCTTTCCCTTTGTCTTTTCCAGGTGTTTGCTTTGTCCACCCATCCTTATGGCTGCCGAGTGATCCAGAGAATCCTGGAGCACTGTCTTCCTGACCAGACCCTCCCTATCTTAGAGGAGCTTCACCAGCACACGGAGCAGCTTGTACAGGTAGTGGAGTTGCCAGGAGACCTGCTGGGCTGCAGTAGGCCCAGCACTTGTGTGTTTTGTTAGCATAGAGTATCAGTGTGTCTTCAGTACTCTTCTTTGGAGCATGCTTTTATCATAGCCCAGTTTGTGTTCCATGAATATAGGCAGCAAATAAAGCTGCCCTGCCTTGGGAGCTGGGAGAATGTTCTACATACATATACCATGTCACCTGAGTAGACCATTCAGTTTTTTTGGGTCTCAGTCTCATTGCCAAACGAACCAAGCTGAGTCCTTTCTTTGGCGTTGATGCTTTTCTGCTTCTGCCACTGATAATGGTCCTGCTTGTTTGGGGGGATATAAATCTTTCCAGTTAAAGATGCAGCAAACCATTTATATGCTTCTGTTAGAGGAAGATTTCTTTATCCCCGGAACATTGCCTCCTTCCCCTTCCAAGTAGTCATTGGCCTACTTCTTTGTAGGTAGTAATTTGTGAAGAACCCAGCTAAAACTTATGAGCATGAATATATAATGTCCAGTAATACTGTGTTCCTGTTTTATAGTGATAGAGAAATGTTATGATCTATCCAGTTAAAATTGCTACATGCTCATTTAGACCAGACTGGGCGCGTTCAAGTGTCGCAAAACGGGCATGGATATGTGCTCATTTAGATAGGCTGTCATGCTGCTAGAGCGCTAAGATCAGTTATCTGGAAGGATTTCTAAATCATGGAACTTTTTTGTACAATTTCTTTTGTTGCTTCTCCAACAGGATCAGTATGGAAATTATGTAATCCAGCATGTATTAGAGCATGGTCGTCCTGAGGATAAAAGTAAAATTGTAGCAGAAATCCGAGGAAATGTGCTTGTATTGAGTCAGCACAAATTTGCAAGGTGTGTGCTCTGAGTTACATGGCCTACTTTTAGAAGAGGGTTCGGTAGTATTTCAGCTACAGAATTTGTTTTATATTTATGGGTGTGGGTGTGGGTGTGGGTGGGTACACGCCCGCCACAATAGGTATGTGGCTCAGAGGACAACTTGGAGGAATTCTCTCTTTCCATCATCTGGGTCCATAGCAGGTCCTCAGGCTTGATAGCAAGTGCCTTTATCTGCTGAGCCATCCCACTAGCCCTCCTGAGCTCTTTTTTTAATGTTTCCTTACTTCAAAGTATACATTCCTTGCTTAAAAAGTTATATTACAGCTGTACCAAGTATGGGCTAACAAGCCATCCCTTAAATGCTCCTTTCATTCCTTTTGAGTCATCATTGAAGTCTGGAAACTGTTTCAACAATGATGTACTTTTTGGTTACCTATGTATTTCTTTATCTTTTGGGGCACTGAAATACTCAGTACTCAGCTTCCTCTTTGGCACAAGGGTGGGTGCACTTTGCTGTATTTGTCCAGGCTTCTTGGCCTCTTTACAGGCTGCAGAAGGAATGCTCTGTCTGTTCCTATACCTGCAGGGGATTTAGGTAGTTCCGTAGGGGCAGGACTTGAAGAAATGATGGCCCTTCCATAAGCTTAAATGGGTGGTGGTGATCGCCCTCATCTCCCCCTGCCCTTTTATTTTTCTTTGTATAAATGTTTAACTGCATGTATGTATGTGTACTGTATGTGTACCACTTGCATCCCTGGTACTCCACAGATGCCAGAAGAGGGTGTCAGCTCCCTTGGAACTGGGGTTAACAGGCAGTTGTGAGCTGTCTTGTGCTGCAGGAACAGCAAGTGCTCTTAGCTGCTGAGCCACCTCTGCAGCCCTGGGTGGTCTGAACAGATTCTTACCACCTGCACAACTTGGTGCTTTCAGTTTTCCAAGTATTTTCTTTCCTGGGTTTTCAGTGTGATTTGCCAGGCAGGTAGCACAACTCATACTTATTGATGTTCCCTTTCAATTAGTGAAAAAAATTTTTTCCGGGGGGTGGGGGTCTTTTTGAGACAGAGTCTCTCTGTAGCCCCAGCTGGCCTAGAACTTGCTTATTATATAGACCAGGATGGCCTTGAACTGAAAGAGATCTGGCCTGCCTCTGCCTCCCAAGTGCTGGCATTAAAGGCTTGCACCACTACAACTGGCTAATTAGTGAAATCTTAAACAAATTTTAAGGGTCAGATATGTTGGTGCACACCTTTAATCCCAGCACTTGAGAGGCAGATCTCTGTAAGATCACCAGACCAACTGGGGCTACAAGGAGACTCTGTCTCAAAAGGAAAAATTTTAAACTTAGGTATGCGTGTATCTGCACATGTGTACTCACTCTCTTACGTGCCATGGTTTACATGTGGAGGACAGAGGGCAACTTGAGTGGGAGTCAGTTCTCTCCACTATTGTGGGTCCTGGGGATTGAACTTTGGTCAGGAGGCTTGGTGGTCTGAGCCATTTCGCTAGTGAAATTTTTACTTTTTAGTGTGTATTGCTTGCATGTATGTAAGTGCACCTGTCATGCAATGCCCTCGGAGGTCAGAAGAGGGCATCAGATTCCCCTGGAACTGGAGTTGTTAGTCACCATGTGGGTGCTAGGAATCCAACCCAGGTCCTTTGCAAGAGTGGCTCAGCTTAACTGCTGAGCCATCATCTCTGCAGCTCTAATTGGTGAAATCTTAAAGTATTGCAGCAGGAAATCAAGGCTCCTGTGTGTGGTGGTTTAGTATAGTGGAAGGCTGTTTAACCTGAGTGGCAGATGCCCCAGAAAGTGGCTGCTTGAGGCTCACTGGGAATTCCAAAGCTGTCTCTGAGTGGCCAGCCTATAGACTGGGCATCATTAGCTAGATGTGACCTATGTCGAGCTTTTTCCATGCGAGGTTTGTGTTCCAGAGCTTTTCTTTCCTCCTCTTTGCCAAGCCCTCAGCTCCTGACTCACAATCCCGGTCTCACTGCCACGTCTTGGGCTCAAAGCTTCGTTTCCACTTGGCCATGGTATAGGTTAGTATTATCTGATAAAAGCAGGCAGCATTGTGCGCAAATCACTCTGCATGGTAAATGGCCATTAGTGGGGCGACATGGCGTTTAATTTTAAGGAAACCATGTTTACATGGCGTTTAATTTTAAGGAAACCATGTTTTAATGGCTCTACCCCTTCATTCCTTTTCCAAGGTGATATATTTGGAAAGTGTTTAGAAGTGCTGACAAGACTGCAGGGTCCTTCTGTTCTACTCTTGAGAGCAGTGGAAAGTGCTGTGATCCAACTTGTTGTTCTTTTACTTGAGTCCAGAATTTCTGCTGCATGCCATGCTCTGCTTGACAGCCAATAGTACACACTAGGAAAGCTTGCTGGCCTTTTAGCTCAGAGGGGCAAGGACACAGTCATAAATGTAGATACATGTTGAAATAGTGATTATGACCCACCTGAGCTGTTAGAAAGCTGCTGTGAACCTTTTATGTCTTGTCTCTTCACTTCTCGAGCTTATTATTGTCAGCAGGTCAGGTCCCATCTCCTCGAATACCTGGTTCAGGTGACTCACTAGTGGACACCCCAGTGCCTCGGGCCAAAATGGATGTCTTGCAGAACCAGATTGTGGGTGACTGCATTTCTCACATGTACTAGCTGCTGCCCATACTGAGGCTAAACATGCACAACCTGAGAGGAGACCTTTTCTCACTTGTGCCCGATTTATCTCTTCACAGCAATGTTGTGGAGAAGTGTGTCACTCACGCCTCACGTACAGAGCGCGCTGTGCTTATTGACGAAGTATGCACCATGAACGACGGTCCCCACAGTGCCTTATATACCATGATGAAGGATCAGTATGCCAACTACGTGGTCCAGAAGATGATTGATGTGGCCGAGCCAGGCCAGCGGAAGATCGTTATGCACAAGGTGCGCAGGTCAAGTGCCAATCACTGAGGGGCACATCCTTCAGTGTGGTCCTGACACAGGAGGGTAGTGGCAGGTGACCCCCAGGTGCAGAAGGGGTGCAAGTCCTAATGCTTCCAGATACAGAGATAGGTAGACATGGGACTGATTCTATGTCCCTGCACTAGCCTGTTCTGTGTTCTTTTTTCTTGTACACCAGCACTATTATCCCTCTGTGTTTGCCACACCTCGCTTCTCAACTTACATGTGTGGCTGTCTCGTTGTTTTGTTTCTTTTATGATTATTTGTTTGATGTCTGTGTGCTATAGTGCAGGTATAGAGATCAGAGGACAGCTTGAGGGTTTCTGGGGATCCAACTCAGGTCATCAAGTTTGATGGCAAGTGACCTTACCCACTGAGTAATTTTGCTGGCCTCTAAAGAGGCCAGCTTTTTTTGGCCAATTGCTTATTTCTTGATTTTGTGTGGTGTTCTGGGAATTGGACCAATGCATCATGCATGCATATTTGGAGGTTTAGTTTGTTGACAGGGCTGTGTTGTATAGCCAAGGCTGGCTGCAAAACAACCTTTCTGACCTAAACTACTGAGTGCTAGGATCACAGACACATACCTACCATTCCTGGGTATGTGTTAGGGTATGTTTGTGAGCCGTTTCCTTCCTTGGTCTCCAGGAGATGAGCTTGTCAGCCCAGCAGCTCTTCCTGTATCTCCTTTTCTCCCTCCTTGTTTTCATTCATTCACCAACTTTTCCCAAGCACAGACCTGTTCTGTGTAGATCTGGACACCATGAAGATGAAGTCCTGTTCACTGCCTGTGGCCCTCAGTCTGGTGGGGAGGGCAGTAGAAAACAGCAGTGCCCACTTGAGAGTGAGGCTGAAGGGAGTTAGACAGGAGAGAGGGGACAGAAGTCGGAACAGCTAGCCACTGTGAGTAGGGCCGGACAGAGGAATCACCAGAGGCCCACTGCTTCAGCTGTCAAGAGTTGGTCTGCCCAACCCTGCACAGGGCCCAGGAAGCCAAACCAACCCATGGGCAGGGAGGGTGGGCCACAGTCTTTGCGCCAGGCAGTGCTGAGAGTCAGGTGTTTGCGGCCTGCTCCCATCAGCCTTTGGGCTCTGAGCTCCCTCAGCCTTCCGGTTGGAGGGGTTGCTGTTGTCTGGCAATGATGACCCACTTGCCCTCACTGAGAACAAAGTTCAGTAATGAGAATCTTTGTTAGGGACTCGTTCTGAGCCAGACGAAACCCCACCAACTCTGATTGAAGTCGTATAACCACCGGTCAGTGGAACTGATGGTGGCAGTTGAAGGCTGGGGAGCCCAGAGCACTTGAGGTTTGACAGCAGGTGAAGATGCTTTGGGGGTGGGGCGAGGTATGTGCAGGAGCTTGTCTGTTCATTGAGCAAATGCTAAGCCTGTGTTCTGCAGCCAGCCTTCCTGAACAGGATTACATTGATGATAACCATGAGATTGTACACAGTGGGCACAGTAATGCCACGAAGACACGGAAGGGCCCTGTTAAGAGGGTGTCAGAGTGCTGCTTGTAGAGAAGGCCCCTTAGAAGAAGGGCATGTGAGTGTCATTGTCCAGGAAGAGGCAGGGTGTGTGGTGTGAAGACAAGGGGCAAGAGTGAGGACTGCATTTCATTTTATATTTTGTGTGTGGCATGTTTACTATAGGTCAGGGGACAACTTGCAGAAGTTGGTTCTCCCCTATCACCATGTGGGTTCCAAGGATTGAACTCAGGTTGTCAATCTTGGTGGCAAGTACCTTTACCCACTGAACCATCTTGCAGGCCCAAGACTATTTTAAGTAATTGTCCAGTTGATGAGAGAGCACTGTAACTTGGAAGAGGGAAGGCTGTTAAAACAGCCAATCCAATAGCAGGTGTCATCTTAGGGATAGAGAAGTGGCCAGGGTGGGAGCTGGAATCAAGGTTTGGTCTGGGCTCTATATGGAGGGGAAAGGGAGGGCTAGGAATCCACTCATTCACCCCTAGGTGGTATCCTTAGCAAAGGGCACTTGGGGAAAAGAGCACCTTTCACTGCTTTTTAAATTTTTTATTATTTTTGTCTTTTTGAGACAGGGTCTCCCTGTAAGCCCAGCTGGCCTGGAAGTCATCATGTAGACTAAGCTGGCCTTGAACTCACAGATTGGCCTGCCTCTGCTGGAGCTAAAGGCGTGTGCTACCACACCTGGCTCTTTCTCTGCTTATTTACCAAATTGAAAATGGAGTGCAGCAAAGTTGTGGGGCTGGGGGAGGGAAGGAGGCATCATCACCATCCTGTCTAACTGGTGGAAGAGGTGAGAGGGTCAGATTTCAATTCTAGAAGGAGAGCTACCAGAAAACAAAGGGATCTTGGGCCTCGGTTTCTAGTGACAAAATGCTTCATAGATAGTCCTCACCACCTTGGCGAATGATTACTTGGTGAAGTATTAATGTGTTCTTCTAACAGACACCTCCTTGGGAGGTGATGCTGGTTGTCCTCTCAGAATTAGAGTTAGAACTCAGGACAGTTTGTTTTCAGCCATTTTCCTGCTAGGCAGCAGGATGCATTGTCTACAGTGTGTGTCCCATGTGGACACATAGCGGACTCCGGAGCTCCTTAGCCCTTTTTTACCCAGTTACACCCAAGCAGGCGAACTGCTGGCTCTGTAGCCGCGCTCTTCTTTGGCACATTGGCCTCTGGTGTTTTGTTTTCTTTTTTAAATATTTTATTTATTATTTTTATGTGTATACTTGTATTGCTTGCATGTGTGTAAGTGCACCTGTGTAGTGCAGTGCCCTGGAGGTCAGAAGAGCGTGTTGGATCCCCTGGAACTGGAGTTATGGATGAATGTTAGCCACCATGTGGGTGCTGGGAATCAAACCCAGGTTCTCTGCAAGAGCAGCCAGTGCTCTTAACCACCCTGAGCCATCTCTCCAGCCTGGCCTCTGGTGTTTTCGTGCACAGTTTGAGTTAGGATTGTTACGCCAGTTAAGAACCCTGAGTCTCTTTCCTATGTGGAAGGAACTTGATAGCCAAGCAGAAAGAAGCCATCTCTGCTTTGTAGCATGATCCATGAGCTCATAGGGAGGGCTTCTCTCACCTAGGTGCATGGGAATGGCTCCAGTGACGGGAGTACAGGAGATGGCTCACAGAGGTGAGCAGAGCTCAAGTCAGAGAAGCAAGGGGTGACTGGTGCCAGCAGTGTCTCACAGGGCCAGTGGGAAGAGCCTCTGGAGGGGCAGTGGGCTGAAATGCCTGTCTCTTATCAGTCACATTGGCACATAGTACATAGTAACCGTCTTGAGGGGTGGTCTCTTAGCTTGAGGTGCACTGCAGAGGTGTAGGGGTCAGGTAATAAATGTAGGTGGGTGGTCCTGAAAGGAAGCCCCAGTTGCTCAGAGGAGCCTGGCTCTGTGTGTACCAGTAGGCAGGCTGTGCCACAGGCTTGGGATGATGTGCTGTCCTGGGAAGGAATCACTGTCTCATCTCCTGAGTGGCTGGCACTCAGGATGAAAGGCATCTCTGGGGTAGGCATGTGCACCATGCAGTTTAGGGATGGCAGGGTGCTGGAACTGACCCAGGCCTCTCAGGCCAGTGTAATGCAGGCTGTCCTTCCTCCTCTCCAGATCCGGCCACACATCGCTACCCTTCGCAAGTACACCTACGGCAAGCACATCCTGGCCAAGCTAGAGAAGTACTACATGAAGAATGGTGTAGACTTGGGGCCCATCTGTGGCCCCCCTAATGGCATCATCTGAGCGATGCTCCCACCCCCGTCCCGCTGACCTCACTGACCCTGGCAAATCAACCAGCAACCAGAAATGCCCAGTGTAGACTTGGAAATGGGCGCCGGCTGCTCCGGGATTACTCCCTCTTCTAAAAGAAATCAGATCCACAAGTGGAAAAGCCTTTGTAAATTTCATTTTATTACACATAATATGTACTAATTATTTTTTTTAATTGACTAATTGCCCTGCTGTTTTACTGGTGTATAGGAACTTGTACATAGGTAATCAGTGTACATGGGAGGCCACATATTTTGTTCAATGCTGTATCTGTCTTCCACATGTGGACACTTTCAGGGTGGTTGGTTTAACAAAAAAAGTTTAAAAAAAAAAAAGAAAAAAAATGGTTTTTAACTCATTTGCCTTGTGGCAAGTTTTGCAAATAGCTCTTCCTCACCTCATTTTATTAAAAACAAACCTGAGGTTTGAATTGACCCCAAAGCGGCATTCAACACTGTTTAATAAAGTATACATACATATACATATACATACATACATACATTTAACACTGTTTATAAAGTATACATACATACATACACACACACACACATATGAAATGGAATTGTTTGGGAGTTGCTGAAGTATCATTCTGTACCATTGAGGTCACCAAGCTCCTTTTGGAGACAACCTTATGCCAAGGAATGTGGTGGCCGCTGAGTGGAGCCGCAGTCAATGCGGGCGGGTTCGTGTCTGTTAACACGAAAGGCAAAACCTGATTATTCAGCATGAGAAAATCCACCTCTGCTTTTGGTCTTGCTTCTATAAATACATAGTGTATACTGGGTGTAGACTTTGCATATATACGAATTTGTAGTATTTTCCTGTTTTGATGTTGAATCTGTATCTATAATGTACCCTAGTAGGCGAACATACTTTTGATTGTACAATTGTACATTTGTATACCTGTAATGTAAATGTGGAGAAGTTTGAATCAACATGAACACGTTTTTTGGTAAGAAGAGAATTAATTAGCCAGCCCCGTGCGCTCAGTGCACACCCTCACCTTCACGGTCGTAGCGTGTAGTGTTGTATATTGTAAATTGTAATTTCAACCAGAAGTAAATTTTTTTTTCTTTTGAAGGAATAAATGTTCTTTATACAGCTTAGTTAATGTTCAAAAAATATATATAGCTTGGTTTATTTGTCAGCTAGTCAAGACAGTAGCGAGAGCCTTTTTAAATGTTACTCATGATTCAGTTCACACTAGTGGTTTTTTTAACCCTAAAAAAAGTAACGTTTTGCTTATTTTGTGACAGTCAAAAAGGACGTGCGGAAGTTCAGCCCTCCCCCTTCCCTTCCCTGTGATGGGAGCCTCCCCTGTAAAGTGTGACCCTTCCTAGTTCAGCCCTGCCCTTCCCTTCAATCAGAGCCTCCTCTGTAAAGTGTGACCCTTCCTAGTTCAGCCCTGCCCTTCCCTGCAATCAGAGCCTCCCCTGTAAAGTGTGACCCTTCCTTCCTTCTTTTGTACAGAAGATGAACTGTATTTTGCATTTTGTCTACTTGTAAGTGAATGTAACATACTGTCAATTCTTCTTGTTTGAATATAGAACTGTAACACTACACGGTGTACATTTCCAGAGCCTTGTGTATATTTCCAATGAACTTTTTTGCAAGCACACTTGTAACCATATGTGTATAATTAACAAACCTGTGTATGCTTATGCCTGGGCAACTATTTTTTGTAACTCTTGTGTAGATTGTCTCTAAACAATGTGTGATCTTTATTTTGAAAAATACAGAACTTTGGAATCTGAGTTTGCCACCCTTTTTACCCCTCACTCCCATCTGAGCCCTGGAGAGCCCCTCTGGTGCCCTAGCTCTGCCTCTGCTGCGTACTGTGAGGGTGATGGAAGGGTGGCGTCCTGGTACAGCTGGTGACTTCTGAGCCTTATGTCACCTGTGAGGTTGGGTTCAGCCTACCTGTTGCTTTGAAAATCAAGAACATCTGGTGTAAAAGCTGACTTTCCCAATGTTGTATGACGGGCCTTTCCTGAGGAGGCAGGACACATACCTGTTCACCTCAGAGAGGGAATCCCTGGCAGACCAAAGTAAAGAGACTACATCAATGTCCAACATGGTGAACCACTAGATTTTTCTTGGGGGTACTAAGTAACAACAGCTGCAGGCAGCTCTCACTATCCCAAATCTCCTGTGTTTTCTCCTTTTATAAAGCCAGGAGAGGGGTTCTCTAGAAGCCTTCTGCTTTCCGAGGCAAATGACCTTTTGTTTACCTGCCCTCTCAGGAGCCTCTTCTCCCACTCCTGGAGGGACCTTTCACTTTGGAGGGAAGACAACACCCAGCTTGTCTGGGGCTCCCAGCACTCGCCTCCTGGGCCAAACCTGCAAGCCTTGGTCTTTCTGCCCTCTGGCATTTGGGGCCCTGAAGTTTGGACTCAATCTCCTCAAGTTACAGGTGTCTCTTTTCTGAGGTCTGGTGGTGGCCAGTGTCTGAATTGTAGCACCTTCACAACCTTGTCCCCCATGGAGAACAGCTCATGCTGTCTACTAGCTAGCTGAGATTGGGGACCTCTTCTGGCTCACAAAAAGTGGGGTCTGTCCCTCACGATCTGCACCCTCCCTCCACCAAGTTACCAAAAGAATGGTCTAGTCAGGAAGCAGGTGAGGAGAGGCCATGCCAGCCGGGTCAGACCATCACTTGGTTCCCTCTCATAGGCACAGCAGCAGGGGAGACTTAGCCAGCCAAAGCTTGGTTCTGCTTGGGCAGCAGGGATAGACTGGGCCCCAGTGTTGCCTGCTGCCCCTACCGTCGTGGCCTCTCCTACAGCAGGCTTTCAAGGTGGATCTCTCTTCTGTTTGCCCCCTTCCTGCTGGTGGAGAGTAGGGGTCTGGGAAGCCTGTGAGCTGCTGCTTAGAGGAGCTGGGCAGTACCTAGGAGCTGTGGGGACACAGTAAACGCTAGAATGCTAGTCCAATGCCTGTCAGACCTGTGCACACTCTGCTGCCTAACCCCGTGATGGACAGATGTGCACATGCCACTGCCCAGCTCTGCACTGGTCAGACCTGTGCACAGGGCTCTCCTCTTCCTCATGGCTATCGTCCTGGTTGTGTTTGCTCGATTTTGGTTCTTTTTCTTTTCAGCATCTCTCAGTATTGAAATCTGTGTGTGTTAGTGGCTTTAAGGCACTGGAACTGGGGTCACCACTAATTTCAAGCCTTGCGTTTTTGAGTCCTGAGGAGACTTCCGAGTCAGGATTAAACTGAAGGTTTAATCCCAACTGCCTGTTTTCACTTGTGTGCTCCTGGGACACAGTTCTCTGTAAGAGGGGGAAACGGAGCTGGAGAGATGGCTCACCGGTTAAGAACACTGACTGTTCTTGCAGAAGACCTAGTTTCGAATCCCAGCAGCCACATGGCAGCTAACAACTGTCCGTAACTCCAGTTCAGGGAACCCGACAGCCTCTTCTGACCTCGACATTGCACGACACAGGTGCACTTACCTACGTGCAGGCAGTACATGCATACACCTATGTGAAAGACTGCTGTAGATTCAGTGAAATACGGAGCTCTGAACGGTGCCCAGCATGGGTGTAGTCATTTTTTCCTACTTCATTTTTTAATAACTTGAAGCTGGGGTGATGCCCCCTCCAGTACACTAGCCCCTTAATCCACCCACCCAGTGGCTATGCATGCCTGTTATTGCAACACTAGGAGGCTGAGGCAGGAGGATGGAGAATTCTGGGCTAGTCTGGGCTACAAGAAGAAGCCTGTCTTCAGAACAGAAAAACAAAACCAAGTGAGCCAGTGAATCCCTGTGATCCCAGTAGTAGGCAGGTGAAGGCAGGAGGATCAGGAGTTCAGGGTCATTTTGACTATATAGTGAGCTCAAGACCAGGGTGTCCTTGGGTGTGTGTGGGGTTTGTACCACAGCGTATGTGTGATCAAGGGATCACCTCAGGTGTCCATCTTCATGTTACAACTTAGTTTGAGTCTCATCGGTCATTGCTATGTACACCGGGCTAGCTGACCCATGAGCTTGCAGGGATTCCCCTGTCTCAGCCTCCCATTTCACTGTAGGTGAGCTGGGATTATAGATATTTGCTACTTACTGCATCTGGCTTTACACGAGCTCTGGAGATTCAAATTCAGGTGCTCACAATTGGGAGGCAAGAACTTTACTAAGCCATCTCCCCAATGTGAGACCTGTCATAAATCCAGTAGAACAATCCTATTATTAAGCAAAGAAGTCTACCTAATGACCCTCACTGGGCATAGATTGCTGCCACGGGAACTGCCCATCTCAGATCTGCGAGCTGAGGTTCTGGGTTGGTTGTCATGTGAGTCCTTCGCTCTGTTCCTCACAGGAGGCCTTCTCGTCTGACTGTTTAATGGAGCACATTGGACTCCAGGCTTTGTCCACCCCACATCCTTGTGAAGGGCAGGAGGAAGGAAGGTGGGTGTTTCAGCTCATTGTGTGTGCAGAAGAGTCTTTGAGACTCGAGTTACGGTATGATAGATAACCAACGGAGGGTTTTATCTGAGTTTACCTGACTCCCCATCCAGGCCTGTTTATGACATCTTGCTCTGCCATGCTGTCAGGCCCAGCCATTGCTCCCTTGTAGAGTTGCAGAAGGGGGCTGAAGAGATGGCTTAGTGGTTAAGAGCACTGGTTGCTCTTGCAGAAGACCTGGGTTCAAATCCAAGCACCCACGTGGCAGCTAACACCCACCCATAACTCCAGTTCCAGGGGATCCAACTCCTGGCCTCCATGGACATTGCATTTACATACATGCAGGCACAACACACATAGGTAAAGGTGCATGCCACCAAGCCTGATCCCCAGAACCCATGTGGTGGGAGAGAACAGACTTCAACGAGTTGTCCTGGGTGCTATGGCACGAGCATGCCTCCACACATACACATGAATAAATAAAATGTAAAAAAAAATTAAACATCTAAAATAAAGTTGTAGAAGGGTGTGCCATCTAGAGATGAGCAACCTGTGACTTTATGTAGTTACCAGTCTCAGCCACACGAGGGCGCTGCTCCCTAAAGCAAGCTCTATGGAGGCCCCACGCCTCAAGGATCCAAGGTCAATGTCAACTGGTTTTTCTTTGGCTTGTGGCACCTAGAAGTGGAGTCCAGTAAGGGGGTCCTGTCCAGTAGACAGAGGTTTGTTTTCCCCTTTCTTCCCTCCTATTTGCCAGGATTCTCCAGTGTGCACAGCTAGACCGTCATTGGTTGGGATGAAGGCTGAGCTAACCCATCTGGCTCAGGCTGTTGTCTTTGGCTTGCTGTGTGACCTCTGCTGAGCCTGTGACTTCTCTGGGCCTCCATTTCCCAATTGTCACCTGGTGACGTCAGGCAATAGTGGGGCTGAGCATAGCAGCCATTCAAGATACCTTTTGGGGGCCCAGGTCCAGTGACTTACCGAGCCCTTAAATAGCCCATACCTCTAAGACTGGGAACTTCAGATCCTGGCCCATCTGGCTCTGTGTGACTGTGTAAGTCACCTGACCTCTTACAGCCCTCCCTTCTTCTGTCAAATGGGAGGGCGACAGCCGTACTTCATGTGACACATCAAAGCCTTGGGCACAGTCGAAGTGCACACTGTGATTATTGCTACCTGCTGTGTTTGTTGGTCAGGACTCTTTGCTAGGGTGACTAATGTGGCCTAACTGGGGCACCTAAGCGAAGAGCTGTCCTGCTGGTAGGATTCATGTACCAGTCACACCTACCACCTTGTGGGTAGAGCGTCCAGAACTTGCCCCATAGCCACCCATCCGCAGCTCCCTGACCCCTAGAGGCTGTGAGAGACAGGTGTGTTCTGTGGTCTGAGCCCTGGGTTTGGGGCAGCTTGTTATAGGGTATGTGTGTGGGGATCAGTTACCTGAACCACAGAGGGTACATCGGGGTGGCCTCACACAGCTGAGGGTCTACTGGTCAGCACACCCGAGGCGTGCCTCACCTTGCCCTGCCCCACCTCAGCTGCCTGTCCTACCCTAGGCACCCCCAGTGCCCCTCAGCCTGGGCAAGGCTGGGCCAGTCATTCCCAGGGGACTATAGCCCCCTGAGGTACCCTCAGCCTGTTTCTCAGCTACAGGCAGAGAGTGACTTCCAAACAGTGGCTGTTGATGGTAGGCCAGCTGGCTGAGACTCCTCCTGTATCACCCTCCAGCCCCGTAGCCATTGTTGGCTCACCTGGGAAGCCCTTAGCTCCAGACATTAGGAAGTGGTAGGCCCCAGGACTCAAATCCAGGCCTGTCCTCTGTAACCGGGTCCCCTTGCTCACTGTGACCCAGGAGAGGGAAGCCCCTTCTGGGGACACACAGGTAGGTGTGCTGGGGATAGAGCAGGGGTGGTCCACTGCTTCCCTCTTGCCTATCCATGCCAGTCCTCCACGCCATATCTATGCCCTGTTCAGAGCTGTGGCTCAACAGTGATGGGGTTCAATGCCAATTTCTCAAAATGTGCTAAGCCTCAAGAGTAGCAGTGCTGGGAGTGACCAGACTGTACAGCCTGGGGGAGGCAGGCCTCCCAGTCTTCTGTTCAGCTGGGCTGCTCCAGCCTTAAGATGGGGTGAGAAGGAAAAAGCATTTTTAGGAAGCTCACTTTTTTTTTTTTCTTCCAGGAAAATGACTCTAAATGTGCAATTTATTCCCAGGAGTGCGGTGTATTGTGGAGTAGCTTCTGGGATGGTGCCCTCCCCTCCTCTCAGCTTTCCACCTCCTACCTCTCCCCACTTCCTCCCCTTCTTTCCTCCCTCCTCTGCCCTCTCATTTCCTGCCTCTTCTTC